ATTAGGATGATGTTGGCTTCATAGAACGCGTTTGAGAGTATTCTGTCCTCTTCTATTTTTTGGAAAACTTTAAAGAGTATGGGAATTATGTCTTCTCTGTATGTCTGATAAAATTCTGAAGTAAATCCATCGGGCCCGGGCGTTTTGTTCTTGGGTAGTTTTTTGATTACTGCTTCAATTTTGTTGCTGGTAATTGTTCTGTTTAGATTTTCTGTTTCTTTCTGGTTCAGTCTTGGAAGGTTGTACTTTTCTAGGCAGTTGTCCATTTTTCCTAGGTTTTCCAGCTTGTTAGCATATAGGTTTTCATAGTATTCTCTAATAATTCTTTGTATTTCTGTGGGGTTCGTCTTGATTTTTCCTTTCTCATTTCTGATTCTGTTGATGTGTGTTGACTCTCTTCTCTTAGTCTGGCTAGAGGCTTATTTATTTTGTTTATTTTATCTAAGAACCAGCTCTTGGTTTCATTGATTTTTTTCTATTGTTTTATTTTTCTCAATTATTTATTTCTTCTCTGATCTTTATTATGTCCCTCCTTCTGCTGACCTTAGGTCTCATTTGTTCTTCTTTTTCCAATTTCGATAATTGTGACATTAGACTATTCATTTGGGATTATTCTTTCTTCTTTAAATATGCCTGGATTGCTATATACTTTCCTCTTAAGACTGCTTTTGCTGCGTCCCAGAGAAGTTGGGGCTTTGTGTAGTTGTTGTCATTTGTTTCCATATATTTCTGGATCTCCATTTTAATTTGGTCATTGATCCATTGATTATTTAGGAGTATGTTGTTCAGCCTCCATGTGTTTGTGGGCATTTTTGCTTTCTTTTAGAATTTATTTCTAGTTTTATACCTTTGTGGTCTGAAAAGTTGGTTCGTTGGATTTCAATCTTTTTGAATTTACTGAGGCTCTTTTTGTGGCCAGTATGTGGTCTATTCTGGAGAATGTTCCATGTGCACTTGAGAAGAACGTGTATCCTGTTGCTTTTGAGTGTAGAGTTCTATAGATGTCTATTAGGTCCGTCTGTTCTAGTGTGTTGTTCAGTGCCTCTGTGTCCTTAGTTATTTTCTGTCTGGTGGATCTGTCCTTTGGAGTGAGTGGTGTGTTAACGTCTCCCATAATGAATGCATTGGATTCTATTTACTTCTTTAATTCTGTTGCTATTTATTTCACATATATTGGTGCTCCTGTATTGGGTACATATATGTTTATAATGGTTATATCCTCTTGTTGGACTGAGCCCTTTATCATTATGTAGTGTCCTTTATCTCTTGTTACTTTCTTTGTTTTGAAGTCTATTTTGTCTGATACTAGTATTGCAACACCTGCTTTTTTCTCTCTGTTGTTTGCATGAAATATCTTTTTCCATCCCTTGACTTTTAATCTGTGTATGTCTTTGGGTTTGAGGTGAGTCTCTTGTAAGCAGCTTGTAGATGGGTCTTGCTTTTTTATCCATAATTGGTTCATTCAGTCCATTTACATTTAGGGTGATTACTGAAAGATATGTACTTATTACCATTGCAGGCTTTAGATTCGTGGTTACCAAAGTTCCAGGTTAGCTCTTTACTACCTTACTGTCTAACTTAACTTACTTATTGAGCTATTATAAATGCAGCCTGGTGATTATTTCTCTCCCTTTTTATTCCTCCTCCTCCATTCTTCATATGTTGGGTGTTTTGTTTTGTGCTCTTTTTGGAGTGCTCCCATATAGAGCAGTCCCTCTAAAATACTCTGTAGAGGTGGTTTGTGGGAGGCAAATTCCCTCAACTTTTGCTTGTCTGGGAATTGTTTAATCCCTCCTTCATATTTAAATGATAATCATGCTGGATAAAGTATCCTTGGTTCAAGACCCTTCTGTTTCATTGCATTAAATATATCATGCCATTCTCTTCTGGCCTGCAAGGTTTCTGTTGAGAAGTCTGATGATAGCCTGATTGGTTTTCCTTTGTAGGTGACCTTTTTTCTCTCTCTGGCTGTCTTTAATACTCTGTTCTTGTCCTTAATCTTTGCCATTTTAATTATTATGTGTCTTGGTCTTGTCCTCTTTGTGTCCCGTCTCTCGGGAGTTCTGTGTGCCTCCTAGTCTGAGCAACTATTTCCTCCCCCAGTTTGGGGAAGTTCTCAGCAATTATTTCTTCAAAGACACTTTGTATCCCTTTTTGTCTCTCTTCTTCCTCTGGTACTCCTATAATGCAGATATTGTTCCTTTTGGATTGGTCACACAGTTCTCTTAATATTGTTTCATTCCTGGAGATCCTTTTATCTCTCTCTGCGTCAGCTTCTATGCCTTCCTGTTCTCTGGTTTCTATTCCATCAATGGCCTCTTGTATCTTATCCATTCTGGTTATAAATGCTTCCAGAGATTTTTTCACTTCTGTGATCTCCCTCCGGCCGTCATCCCTTAGCTTTTGTATATTTCTCTGCATCTCTGTCAGCATGTTTTTGAGTTTTATTTTGAGTTCTTTTTCAGGAAGACTGGTTAGGTCTATCTCCTTCTCAGGTGTTGACTGTGTGATTTTTGTCTGTCTCAGATTCTGTATTTCATGGTGATAGAGGGAGTTTGCAGAGCTGGCACGATTGACGGCTGGGAGAACATCCCTTCTTGTTGGTTTGTGGCCTTCTTCTGGGAGAACAGCGACCTCTAGCGGCTTGTGCTGGGCAGCTGCGTGCAGACGGGGCCTCTGATTCTTGCCCGGCCACAATGGAGTTCAGCTCCGCAGTTGCTTTGGGCGTGGTCTGCCTCGTGCTGCTGCTCTGATACGGCGGAGCTGTGTTGGAGGGGAAACAGCTGGGAGGCCATTTATCTCCTTGAGGGGCCTCCGAGCCGCCCTGCTGCACAGGGGTTAGGGTGCCCAGAGTCCCCGGTATTCCCCGCTCCTGGGCTACGTGACCCAGGACGCTTCTGTCCAGCCGTGGGTTCCCTGTCCCTTTAAGACTTTCAAAAAGCACTCGCTTTTCTTTGTCCCCATGGCACCGGCTGCGGGGACCTGCTCACAGATCTTACTTTCCTGTTTCCCTAGTTTCCAGCACCCCATGCACGCACTGTGTGTCTGTGCTCCAGTGCGGAAGGCTAGGGCTGGGTGCTTAGCAGTCCTGGGCTCCCTCTCCCTACCTGCTCCAAGTCCTCTCCTCCCGCCGTGAGCTGGGGTGAGGAGCGCTCGGGTCCTGCTGGGCCGCGGCTTTTATCTTACCCCCTTCACTAGCCGCTGGGTTCTCGCAGGTGTGGATGTAGTCTGGCTGTTGTCCTGTGTCTTCTGGTCTCTCTTTTAGGGATAGTTGTATTTGTTGTATTTTCAAAAATATATGTGGCTTTGGGAGGAGATTTCCGCTGCTCTACTCACGCCGCCATCTTGGCTCCGCCTCAAGGTGGCCAATTTTTAAGTAGGCTAAGACTGAATAGTCTTCTCTCCAGAGAATAAACAAATGGACAAATACTCACGTGAGATGTGTGACATTCGTCTTTAAGAAAATGCAAATTAAAACCAAAATGACATACCACTTCACATCTACTAGTAATTGCTGTAATTAAAAAAAACAGATAATAACAAGTGTTGACAAAGCTATGGTGAAATTGAAAGTAACATACATTGCTGTTGGGAATATAAAGTGTTGCAGCTATTTGGAGAACAGTTTGAGCATGATTCAAATTCTAAGCATAGTTATGAAACACAGTAATTCCACTCCTAGGCATATACCCACATGAAACATATGTTCACACAAAAACTGGTACACAAATGTTCAAAGCATTATTATTCACAATAGCTAAAAAGTGGAACAACCCAAGTGTACATCGCTGGTGGATAGATAAAATATCATCTATCCATAAATGGAATATTATGGAGCCCTTACAAGTAGTGAAGTTGTGATACATGCTACAACATGGATGGACCTTGGAAACATGCTAAATGGAAGAAAGTAGTCACAAAAGACCATACAGTGTATGATTTCATTTATATAAAATGTTTCAAATAGGCAAACCCATAGCCACAGAGAGTCAATTAGTAATTTCCAGGGGCTGGAGAGAGAGAGAGTCAGGAGTGTCGCTAGTGAATACAGGTTTCTTTTGGGGAAGGTGAAAATACTCTAAAATTAGATTGAAATGTAGACTTTTTTTTCCTAACATATTTTCTCTCAGTGCCATTGTCTTTTTGGAGGTGAATGGAGACAGTTATGGGGTTAGGGGAAGATTTTGGACTTAGCACTTGCTGGAGAGCAGGGCAAACATACCTGTTCAATCTGTGGTTTTGAACAGCTAATTTAATTTCTTAGAGCTTCAATTTCAAAACTTTAAGATGAGTATCATGCTGGACTAAAGTGGTTTTTTTTCCCTAGTATTTATAGAAGTTTGGGAGGTTTACCTAAGGAAAATAATCATAAGGATATTCAACTTTGGTCTTTGTTTCAATTTGTCCACACCAGTGTAATCTTAGATTTTTTGCGAACAGAAATGTTGTCCATCTTTATCTAATGCTTAGTTATACATCTAAGAAAATAGGCTCTCATTCACTATTATTTAAAGAAATTGACATTTTAGTAACATTATTGGTGACCTTTGAAGTATTAGGTTATAAGTATAGAGGTCATTGAAATATTAATTAAAAAATTCATTTTAACCTTCTCAATATATTTAATCTTTAATTGTCATTGATTTTTACTGTTTTTAGATATTTGTGTTGTATTTACAGATTATGTTAATTCCAGGTTAGTATATTCATCTATAATTTGTTTTAAAAATATATCTACTGTATATTACTATTTTCACCTTTTAGTTTGGTTTTTGATTACAAAAAATTTTTAATGAGCTGATACTAAACTGATTTTAGAGAAATCTATAATTGCATCCAGCTTCATGACAGTAAATACATTTTTATCTTGCAGTTAAGTGATGGTAAGGGATGGGTTTCAGTTTTCTTTCTTACCATTCCTTCCTTCCTCCCTCCCTCCCTTCCTTCTTCCAGCTTGGTAGCTACATGATCTTAATATGCTAGCTTTTTCTTATTTGCAGAGATCCTGCATATTTTGACGAAAATTGGCTAAACAGAATAAAAACCGAAGTAGGAGATAATTGGAGGCTAAAGGTATTTTCTTGTTTTTTTCCCATCTATTCATTAGGCTTTTACTAGTATATGTGTAATATTTGTTGATTTTTTTATCTGATGCATCCAGTGAGCTTTAGAAACTTGCAGCCTTTAGTAAAATAATCTAGAATTGAAGATTGGAGGTAACCTTAAGTTGCTCACTGAGATGGAATGGAAGTCAGGAAAGCACAGTGGCAGGGCCTGGGTTTGAGAGCCAGAATGCTGTGTCCATATCAAAACACTTACTACCTACGGGAAAGTCCTTCAACCTCTCTGTGCCTTGGTTTCCTCATTTGTAAACTGAGGATTGTAGTAAGATCTACCTCAGAAAATAAAATGAGTTAATACACATAATGGACTTATTAGAGTACGTGGTTAGTTGGTAGTGTTTGTTATTAGTAATGAGCATGATGTGTTGTTAACTGTCCAAAACATTCAGAGAATGGATTCTTCTTCCTAGTAGCCTTAGCAACAAATTCAAGTCTTTATTAAGATGGCACATTTCTTCTTTACTTGCAAAAAAACTGAATAATCATACTGTTAAGTCTTGTTCAGTTACTCTCCAATGTTTGTCAATATGGTCATAACATTGAAAATGTAATATAATTGTTTATAAATCTTTTAGGTCAGATGAGCCATTGATAGTCCTTTTTGGATGGTTATGGTAATTCAGATATGCTGTTGATTTTATATTGACTTTATGATTGCCTGGAATGATTAGTTCAGAAATTTTTTGTTAAATTACTTACTATCTTTACCAAGTTGTTTTCTCTTTCTCCAAACAGATAAGCAACTTGAAGAAAATTTTAAAAGGAATCCTGGATTATAATCATGAGGTAAGGGCTTTTTTTCTTACTCTGCTTAGAAGTATTACCATAGGATAGTTAAATTTTACATGAAGTAAAGGAAAAATTACATCAAGATTAATAATTATTTATCTTCCATTGTATAGTTTCTAGGATGTCTATTAGGTGGTTACTAGGTAGTCTTTTTCATGATAATATGGATAGTTTGTAGATGATTACTGATTTAAGTTACACTTTACTTTCTGCTGTCTATTAGCTCTCCTTTCTCACCTCATGAAGTAGTTTAAAGTCTGTACATTATTATAATCAACTCCCTTGCCTACTTCCATTCCTCAGCAGACCCCAGTCCTTAGATTACCTCAGCTTATCCTCCGAGTCTGCATCAGAACAGTTAAAACATTGCTGAGGAAGAACTCAGAAAGTAGAACTAGTTTTACTTTACATTTTGTGACCACAGGTACCAAATGGACACAGCACAGCCTAGAAACCTGTTGTTTACTTACTGGTTTTTCCCACAAGCTTACCTGCATTTATACCTACTTCTATACTTACATCATTTCTCTCTGCCATCCTCATAAGGAGCCCTATTATATACTTTTCTACTCAAGCCCAAAACCTACAAATCATTCTATAGTCCTTCTTTTAATGTCATCAGGAAACCAGTTAAACTCCAAAACAGAACTTTCTCCATATCTGCTCCACTACCCTGTAGCATGCCATCACTAGCTCTTGCTTAGATTACTAGAGTCATCTAACAGATAACCCTGATTTCATTCTTGCCCCTTCTACAGTCTATTCTCCACTGTAAGAATCAGCCAGGGTAGTTTTTAAAAATATAAATTGATTATGTTGCTCTTCAAAGACATCCATGGTTTCCTACTACAGTGAGAATCAGATCCATACTTTTTACCATGAGCTACCAGGTACTGCATGACCCCTTGGCCTCCTATTACACTGTTCTCCCCTCATCCATCACACTACAGCCGCATTTATCCTCCTCCTATGCTTTTAGAGTATTTTTTCACTATAGGGTTATCAGACAGAGAGACCTACCCTTTTGTCTGCATATATGTCATTTCATTTGGGGCCAATTTCCCCATAAAGGAACCCTCCATTCTCCTTCCTGGTATAGATGTCTTACTGTCAGCATTTTGGAATTGAGTGGAGTGAAGGTGGATGAGAGAATCTTACCTGGGGCATGAACCTATATGGAATCTGTTCTTTCTGGTGCCCTGGTTTAGAATCTCTCTGGCTCTGTTTCTTCAGAGAGGACACATCCAGCCTTTCTAGGATTGGTGGTGGGATCGATGGTAGTCAGTTTCTTTGCTCAGTATACATACCACATGCCAGACTAGGAACTAAGTTGCTATGACCTGAGACAGTTATACCTTAGGTATGGGAGGTACAAATAGAAACTGAGAGTGAGATTGGCGTAACAACTCTGTCCTTCCAGTGAGTTTCTGGTGCTGACAAACTGATCTCTATCAAAAAAAACTCTATTTGGTCATATAAATATATGTTTTTATCTCCATTCAGATTTTAGGACAGCAGATCAATGACTTTACCCTTCCTGATGTGAACCTTATTGGGGAGCATTCTGATGCTGCAGAGCTTGGAAGGATGCTTCAGCTCATTTTGGGCTGTGCTGTGAACTGTGAACAGAAGCAAGGTAATTTATTAGGTGTTAGTGTATGCATTTAAAATAACTAAGGGAAGTAGTACACACTGTATATTGTATATATAAGCCACCAATACAAACAAGCCACCCTTAATGCCATTTTCTGTGATTTTGCTAGGAGTTTGTTTTCAAGCCTTAAAAGAGTTGCAAGTTTGAATTAATTTGATTGTGATGATATTCCTTGCCTTTCTGCAAGACTGCATAATTCTTTGAGTAGATTATTTTAACTTATTGAATGTGATAAAATTTATTATAAATTGGACAAGGTCTAGCTGAATTAATAATATCAGTAATAATGATAATGTTATACTGAATTAGTTCAGCTCTGAAGATTTAAAATTAGATATTTTAGATTACAAATACAAAGGACTCTCAATCTGGGGCTGAGAACACCATCTCAGACAAAATAGACACTGGATTCATGGAACATGTCGTTGAGTTGAGGGGACATAAATAATGCCACATATAACCATGTCATCTGAGTACTGATGAGTGGAGGTAAAGTGTGATGGGGGTGCCATCAAGGGGGTCATTTAAGCAAAGACGTGGAGGATAATGGACTAAGAGTAACTTGAATAGTAGAAACTGCATGTCAGAAAGACTTGGGTGACCTTTGAGGGGAAAACAAAAAGCAGCAGCTGTAACTGGAGAATAGTAAGATGCGTAGAGGATGATAGAGCAGAGAAAGGAAGGTAGGGGCTCTTTTAGATGAGGATGACACAGTGTTTTACTGTTCCTTACATGACCTTTGAAGAATTCTTCTTATTTTTCCTACCCTACCCCTGGTAATGCAAAACAGGTTTTTATTAACTTGTCTATACTTTTTTGTGTTCTAGTGGTAAGTTTAATACTAATTAACATTGTCTTCTTGAAGCTATGACTAGTTTTATTGGTCTCTGATTCAAGAATTTTTTCTAACAATGTATTCATTTATCTCTGTCCCCATTCCTTTTAGATTGTAGCATCCTATGCTCGTACGTTAAATTTTCATTGGTTTATTCAGCTTGACTAAAGAATTAAAATAGAGATTTTTCTACATTTATGATTTTCATATATTACTGAAATACCTAAAAGTTTTTTGTTGAAGACTAGGCGACTGGTATAAATAACATTCAAGACATTAAAGCCCTTAAGTAGATGTTTTGATTTTAGAAAGTATATGAAAAATTATTTAAAGTACTTCACTGAATTGAGGTAATGGCTTCTGATACATTTATTCTGTTAGATTCATCAGCTCTTGGGTATGCATAGCTGTTAAGAGTTGGCTAATTAAATTTTTTATGGGGTAGGAATAGAAAAAGACAAGGATGTGACCTATACAATAGTTCTGTGGAGAAGCAGACGATCGTAGTATTTACCTAGCTTCACACATAGAACCATGTGTTCTGTATAATACCTAGATTCAGTTTTTCCTCTGAAATTGTGTATAAACAATAAAAACGTTGAACAGTTTTGATATCTCACTTCCAGAGGGCATTCTCTGCTCAAGTAAATGAATGTCTGGGTTGCTAAATATTAGATGTCAGTGCACATTTATGATATGTAGTGTAATCCTTACTAAAGCGGCTCTGCCATTCACTACCTTGCTGACATTGGACCAGATACTCAGCCTGTTTCCTCATCTACAAAATCAGGTTACGAAACCTGATAATCATGAGTAGTAAATGGAGCTCTATAGTGTATCTGCCTTGTAATCCGTAAAACACAATACAAACAGGAAGGGCTTTATGTTTAGCTGATATGCAGTTACTAGAAGTAAGGAGCAATTGCTCAGAACATTGACTCAGCATACATTTATTTGGCTGTCTGACATCTTAAATTGGGGCAAATGCATGGTGGTAAATTTGAAATAGCAAAGATTACTAGTAGAAACACAGTAATAGAATTTATTGAGCATCTCCTTTTTGCCTGGTGCTGTACTAACAGAACAAAAAATACTTTTTACAGATTAGGAAAACTGGACATTGTATGACTTGCCCACGATTGCTTGCGTGCAAGGCTAGGCAAGGGCACAGACCCGTGTCTCATTCACAGTCATATTTAATACCCTTTTTTCTGAACTCTGCTGTAAATTTTGGACCAGGATAAACTCCCTGACCTGGCACACCTCATTCTCCAGCATTTCCTCATAGATCTGCATCCAATAATCATGTAGTACTGGTATTTTGGACTTTAAAGATTTGTAAGTTTTTTTCCAGAAATTGTACATTGATGTAGCTCTCATCATCATTTTATCATTTAGCATTTTACGGTGTTCGCGGGGAAGGGCCTTGACGTGGCAACACCGCTTCTTAACTAACGCTTCCCCTCTCACACCCTACTAACCCCCTGGCCCCCCTGTCCCACTGGGACGCCCCTCACGCCCAGGAGGCCGTCATGAAGGTGCCCTTCCCCACCGTCAGTACTGCTGCTCTTCTCTGCTGTGCTCACAGTCTTTTATTTTGAGGGCTGTTCAGTCATCCCTGCCATGCCATTTTCTCCATTGCCTTGGACTTCTTTGTGTGGTACCTTAGAACAGAAGATCAAAACCATTCCCTTATATTCCAGCATTTATAGGGTGCTCCTCGGGGGGCTCAGACTGAAGGATTTGTTTTCTTGGGGTTTTTTATTTTTATTTTTTAGCCAAATCTTGGTAAAGTTATGGTATGTTCCTACTTCTGGCCTAAGAACAATGCCTGTGATTTAAGTATAATGTGTATATTTTATGTATCACCACACGTTTGATGGAGCACAAATATTTTTAGGACAATACTTCCTTAAAAACATGTTTTTGACTAAAAGCTTTGGCATTAACAGCCAGAATGTCATAATTTTATAGTGCTGTCAAAATATATTTTTTTAAAATAAGTTACCTGTCAAGCAAAGAATTATCCTTTGGCATTCCAAATACATGAGTCTTTTGCCAAAACATTAGTTTAACAATTTCACAAGACCTCTTCATATAATACTTGCAGTGCCAATACAAGTTTTTGGTGTTTGATTTTTAAAAGTGTGGAAAGACAGGGAAGTTGAGGCTAAAATCTCCTTATTTGTGTCTTATATTCCTTAAAATGCTTCTTATTTCAACCTATGTACCACAGTTGTTTACCAGTGGAATCCAGCTGGCCTACTGATTTTTTTTTTATGCTTAATACCATTTTTCTCATCCACTGTTAGATTTGAAAATAATGAAAACTATTTCCAAGGCTTTTTTAGAAGGCAAGGAATTTTTTTTTTAACTTTGTCACTACTGTCAGCTGAGATCCTGCTCTTTCTGGGCACTGGTGAGGGTAAGATCACCAGAGCTCAGCTTCGGCCTCTTAGAGATGTGACTTCAAAGCCCAGGGTGGTACCACCATGTGGTATATTATACATATGTATGCATGGGTACCTTATTTACATAGGTACAGTATTATACAGTGTTGTATAATATTGTATACAGTGTAACTATGGCATTGGTTTCTATCTTAAATTCATCTTACTTATTTGTCCTAAGCAGTTTTTAAGTTCATTAAAGTTTTTCTTTGCTGTAGTAGAAAATATTAAGGTAGGAATTATACACAATTCAGTGCTTTGATATCATATAAGAATAAAGCACAGACTTTTGTCAGCATGTATCAAAGAATAATGTGAAACACAGATACTTTGTAAATTTTAGGAAGAGTAATACAGTCCTTTCTATCCTGGCTTTTAGGCTTTACCATTTCACTGTTTTCCACTCCCAAGATACTGCATTCCTGTAACCTTTAACTGTAGTCTCAACTTTAAAAGGAGCAGTGGGGGCCAGGAAGGATAAATACTGTGATTTCCAGCCTTCACTTTACCTATGGCACATATATGTAACTATGTGAGGAATTCCTAAGAAGAATCAAAACATGGGAAACTGCTTAAAAGAATTCATGAAGTGTTAGCCTTTATTCCCTTGACTATCTTTAACTTGGACAGTGACATTCCAGATTGTTCTTGTTTTCAGAGTACATCCAAGCCATTATGATGATGGAGGAATCTGTTCAGCACGTTGTCATGACAGCCATTCAAGAGGTATGTGTGGAGCCTTGTGCTTACCATTTGTGAGAAATTCAAGAAGCAAACATGAGTTTAAATAATAGACATGGAAATTTTTAAAAGATACTCTCCTTATTTTTTGAGAATTTTTTTCCTGTATGCTTACCATATAGTTTGCCTTGTTTTTATTTAAAAAGTCATACTCATTTACATTTCTCATTTTATTCAAATTTTTCAAATTTTAAACATTTATCTTACAGATATTCAATAACTATTCCTAATTTTTAAACACCTTAATGAACTAGGAATTGTAGACTAACTCCTAAAGCCATTGTGAATACCTATTTTAAACCAGCAGTCTACCTCACACTGAATTACTGGTTTCTTGTTTGACAGAAAATGGGTCTTCAACTCTAGCCACTTCCAAACCAATTTCTAGATGATTGTTTATTTTGGAGCTATAGTGGATAGAAAGTATCTCCTCTACCCTCTCAAGTTCTCTGCTGGGGCCTGTATAACAGATGACAGATTAAGAAAAGCTCACATATTTATTTAATATAAGTTTTACATGATATGAGAGCCTTGATAAGGAAGTAAAGAATAAGAAGTGTTTAAACCTGAGTGTTTTGATGCCAAGTTTGATGAGGACTAGAGAATTGTGGAAAAATGCATTAGGACACAAAAGGGTTTGAGCTGAGTGTAGTCGACTGGGGGAAAAAGCAAGTCCCGTCGCTCAGATTGCGTTCAATATCCCTCCGTCTTCAGAAGTCAGGAAGCTCCTTTCCTCCAAGTACAGGGAGAGCACTTCTCACATGAGGCTCTGAAGGACCTACCTCAGGGAAGGGCAGAAAATCCTTCCTGTATCTGCTGTTTCTCGAATTCCTTCAGCTTGAAATACTCAGTATGCCAACAAGTAAAAATGAAATATAGACTAATAACTGGTTGATCTCAGGACATGAGAATGTTTTTCATTGTAAAAGCAATGGAAGAAACCCTTAAGGGAACAAGAAAGAAGTACAGGGCATGAATATGCAATATAAATACAACAGACAAATATGAAAAATGCTAAGTGAAGATTAAGCTAAAATGTTTGTTTTGTAATCCAACCAACTGACTATAAATCCAGGAGTTCCCACCACCACCTCAGGTTTGATAATTCGCCAGAATGACTAAAAAAACTCAGGAATGATGGCAGTTTTGCTATAGCAGAAAGGTGCAAATCAGAGCCAGCTCCACCCCCGCATCCCCGTGCACAGAATGAGGACTTGGAGGGTTCCAAATGTGAAGTTTCTGTGGTCTGCTCCTCATGGAATCAAGGCAGGTCCCATTTCCAGTACATTAATGTGTGACAGCACAGAAAGCACTGCTGCCAGGGAAGCTCCCTTGAGTTTTCACGGCCAGAGGTCTTACTAGGGTTTTATTATGTAGGCATGATTGATTGAGTTATTGGCCATGACGTTCAGCTCAAAGTCCAGCTCCTGTCTCCTCCCCAGATGTCAGGCTGATAGGAAGTGGTGCGAAGCCCCAGCCCTCTAAGATAAGGTTGGTTTTTCTGGCGTGGCCAGTCCCCCAGCTGGAGCATCTCCTGAGCTTAAGCTGTCTAAACTGTCTAGCTTAAACTGTCAAAGACTCTCATATCAGTCAGGAAATTCCAGAGCTTTAGGGGCTACCTCCCAGGAACTGGGGCAAAGGCCAGCCAGATTTTTTAATACAGGACTCAGATCTAAGCAGTGCTTTTTGTCAGTCAGTAAAAAGGATAAACTGGCACATCTTTTTGAATATGTTAAGCTCTTTTATTACATAAAATACAAGGTCGTTGGTGTAAAAATACATAATGATGATCACCCAAGCAAGATATAACTTTAATTTTCTCGTAAGTGGTCCTGGATTGGGTCTCTGGTCATCAGGGACCCAGCTTGCTTGCATCTATGTTTGCCATCCTTCATGCATGATTCCCACCTGGTGGTCCAGCTTGGGTTTCTCAAGTTCCAGTGACCACATTCACATTTCCAACCAACAGGAAGGACTGCAGGAAGGGTTATCCACTTCCTCTAAGAAAACTTTCAGGAACTATCACTGCTGCTAGCCAGATATCCTTCACATAGCCCCACAGGGACACTAGGAAATGTGGTCTTTATTCCAGGTGGTCATAGACCCAGCCCAATTCTGAGGGTTCTTTTATTAAGAAAAAACCAGAAGAATAAAGTAGCCCCTAACAGTTCTGCCTTATTGTAGTGCCTGTATTTACTAAGCATATTACAGATACTAGCTCATTTAAAATTCACTACAGTTGTAGTTAATGCTACTGAAATGTAATATTCTCTTAGAATTTGTTAAAATGGCTAGTTTTATCTTACATATATTTTACCACAGTAAAAAAAAAATTAAAGAAAAAATAAGCTACAGTTCTTTTAGGTTATATACTGTTATTTCCCCCATTTTGTAAAAGAGGAAATGAAGGCATACAGTGTAACTTGCTCAAGTTCACGAAGGTGTAATTAGAACTCAAATCTAAGCTCATGCCCATAACTACTGTGTTGTATTACCTCAAGATTGTTTATTTCAGCATTATTTTCTAGTACTGAAACTTGAGAAATAACATTAGAAATAACTGCCCAGCAATAGGGGAATAGGTAAATAAATTATGGCACAATAATATATTAGCATATTGCTTAGGCATTAAAACATTGTTTTGAAAACTACATAATGACATAGATGAAGTCTTATGTAAGGAAACAGGGTACATGAACAATATAGTCTCACTTCTGTTAAAAATTAAAATTAAGATGAATGAAAATAAACTTGCCAAGATGTTAACCTTCTCTAAATGATTGGGTGTTCTATAGTCTTTTCTGTATTTTCCAATTTTTCTATAATAGCAGGTATTGTATCTAATCAAGAATATTTTTTAAGTTAAAATCAGTGACTAAGTGATTTTTAATTCTATGAATTATTTCCCAAAGGAATATTTAGAAATTCAGACAAAGATTGGGCATAATAGTGTTTATTAAACTACTTCATATTAACAGAAATATGAAGACAATATATACCCATTAGAAAGGAAGTCCTTAAATTATGGTACCTCTACATAAATTATGTAGCCAATAAAAATTTGTTTTAGAAATAAGGGTGTCTTATAACAAAGGGAGAACACATGTCAAGTGAACAAAGCAATATATAAAATTGTACGTACAATTAGATTTTAAGAACATATGATATGTCTTGTATGTACCTACTCCTTTTCTTCATTTAGCAGATAGTTACTGAGCACCTAATATGCACTAATAATTATAGCAGGCATTAGAGATGCAGCTGTGAAAAAGATAGATGTGGCCTCTTGCCCTAGAAAGTGTAAGTCCCATTGGCAAAATGGCCAAACAGGCAATTCAGTACATTCCAAACATTTAAAATGAAAAATGCCATGATGGGGGAAATATAGTTTGTGCTTCAAGGGAGTATCTAAGTCAGTTTGGGGACATTAGGGAAGGCTTCTCAAAGAAGGTGGCATATAAACTGGTCACTGAAAGATGAGAGGCGGTGAGGAGGAGGCAAAAATTGTTCTCCAGTCCGGGAGGCTAGAGAAGCAAGACCTGTGAGGCGTGGTGGGGAACTGAAAGAGGCACAGGGCAGCAGCACTGTGAGGCAGGAGTGCTTAGAAATGAAACAAGGTACAGAAGATCATTGGAATTCTGAGCATTTCTGTTTAAAGAGTTGGGATTTTGGAAACCAGTTAATAGATTTTAAGGAGAAAACACGTTGAAACCTGTATTTGAGAAAACCCACGATGTGAGAAGAATGGATGAGAGGAAAACAAGGCTAGTGGAAGGGAGAGCAGCTAAGAGGCCTTAGTACTTACTTACCAGTGAAGAGTTGCGGAAGCCTGAACTAAGTCCTGCAGGTAGGGTGGAGACAAGAGGGCAGACCTGGAACTCGCCAGAGCTTGAAACCAGTAGGCCTGATGACTGAGGGATCTGGGGGGAAGGCAGAATCGTGAAGTTAAAGAAAGGTTTTTGTAGCAAAAATGAACAAGTGGGACTATATCAAGCTGAAAAGCTTCTGTACAGCAAAGGACACCATCAATAGGATAAAAAGGCATCCTACAGTATGGGAGAATATATTCATAAATGACAGATGCAATAAAGGGTTGACATCCAAAATATATAAAGAGCTCACACACCTCAACAAACAAAAAGCAAATAATCCAATTAAAAAATGGGCCAAGGAGCTGAACAGACAGTTCTCCAAAGAAGAAATTCAGATGGCCAACAGATACATGAGAAGATGCTCCACATCGCTAGTCATCAGAGAAATGCAAATTAAAACCACAGTGAGATATCACCTCACACCAATTAGGATGGCCACCATCCAAAAGACAAACAACAAATGTTGGCGAGGTTGTGGAGAAAGGGAAACCCTCCTACACTGCTGGTGGGGATGTAAATTAGTTTAACCATTATGGAAAGCAATATGGAGGTTCCTCAAAAAGCTCAAAATAGAAATATCATTTGACCCAGGAATTCCACTTCTAAGAATTTACCCTCAGAATACAGCAGCTCAGTTTGAAAAAGACAGATGCACCCCTATGTTTATCGCAGCACTATTTACAGTAGCCAAGAAATGGAAGCAACCTGAGTGTCCATCAGTAGATGAATAGATAAAGAAGATGTGGTACATATACACAATGGAATATTATTCAGCCATAAGAAGAAAACAGGTCTTACCATTTACAACAACATGGATGGAGCTAGAGTGTATTACGCTCAGTGAAATAAGCCAGGCGGAGAAAAACAAGTACCAAATGATTTGAGTCATCTGTGGAGTATAAGAACAAAGAAAAAACTGAAGGAACAAAACAGCAGCAGACTCACAGAACCCAAGAAAGGACTAACAACTACCAAAGGGAGAGGGAGAATGGATGGGAAGGGAGGGATAAGAGGGGTGAAAAAGAAAGGGGGCACTACGATTAGCCTGTATAATGTGGGGGGGGAGGCACGGGGAGAGCTGTGCAACACAGAGAAGACAAGTAGTGCTGTGCAACACAGAGAAGACAAGTAGTGATTCTACAGCACCTTACTACTCTGATGGACAGTGACTGTAATGGGATTTGTCAGGGGGACTTGGTGAAACGGGGAGCCTAGTAAACATAATGTTCCTCATGTAATTGTAGATTACTTATACCAAAAAATAAAAAATAAAAAATAAAGGCTTTTGTAAGAGGGCAGGTTTCTTTTGGTTTTGTTTTTTAATGCGCATTCTATTTATATCTTTATTCAGGTGCTACCAAGTTTATTTTTTTAGTTTTTTAAATACACATATTATAAAATTTACCATTAGTGACATTTTGTATATTCATAATATGCAAACATTACCACTCTTTAGTTCCAGAACTTTTTTATCATCACAAAAATGCCTGTGCATTAAATAGGCAGTCCTCATTTCTCCCTCCCTTGTCCTGGCAACCACTGATCTGCTTTCTGTTTCCATGGGTTGCCCTGTTCTGGACATTTCATATACATGGAATCGTGATATCTGGAGTTTGTGTCTGGCTTTTTCATTTAGCATAACGTTTTAAGGTTCTTATGTAGTATGTGCCTATACTTTGTTCCCTTTCATCGCTGAGTAATAATCCATTGTGTGTACAACCACATTTTGTTCATCTGTTCATCTGTTGATGGACATTTGGGGCATTTCCACCTTTGGCTATTATGAGCAGTGCTGCTGCAAACAAGAGCATACAAGGTGTTTTTTGAACACCTGTTTTTTTGTTTTTGTTTTTGGTATCATTAATCTACAATTACATGAGGAACATTATGTTTACTAGGCTCCCCCCTTCACCAAGTCCCCCCAACAAACCCCACTGCAGTCACTGTCCATCAGCTTAGTAAGATGCTATAGAGTCACTACTTGTCTTCTCTGTGCACACCTGTTTTTAATTCTTTCAGTTCTATACCCAGAAATTGATTTGTTGGGTCAAATGGTAATTCTGTTGAACTTCCTGAGGAAGCAGCAAACTGCCTCCTATTGGTGTCTGCCCTGTTTTACATTCTCACCAGCAGTGCACTAGTAGTCTGATGTTCTCTACCTCCTTGCCAGCCCTTGTTATTGTCCCATCTTTTTGGTGACAGCCATCCTAGGAGGTGTGATGTGGTATCTCATTGTGATTTACTTGCATTTCCCTAAAGACTAATGATGTTGAGCATATTTTCATGTGTTTATTGGCCATTTGTATATTATCTTTGGAGAAATGTGAATGGCAGTCAAGTAAATTATAGTCTTAACTATTTTAAATGTTAATAGGAAGAAAGAGAAAGATGGAGGTTGTGCCATAGGAAAGGATGAAAAGTAGGAAAGATTTGCCATAATCCCTAGAGGGAATAAAGCACCAGCTGACTGGGGAAGCATATCAACTTTGGGGGCAGCCGCTTTGAAGGCCCAGTTGAAATTGGTAACTATGTATTAACGGTGTTTTGTGATTTTAAAAATTGTTTTACTCTCAGTACTTAGCAGTCCAGGATATATGGCCAGAAGATACAGATAGTCAGATATTGGATTGAGATTTTGCCAGGAAGAAGGAACTGAAGTAAGAACATTGATGATGTTGACAGAAGTCATTCAAAGTAATGGACTGTGAAATCTAGGCTAGAAAGAGAAGATTAAACCGGACTGTGAAACCTAGGCTAGAAAGAGAAGATTAAACCAATGGTGAACCATGGAATCTCAAGTGGGAAGGGGAGATTCCTCAAAGTAAGATGATGTAGTAGAAGAAAGGGGAGTCAACTTCAGGCGGCAACACAATAATGTTCACTAAGCAAAGCAAGGAAGAAAACAAATCTAAGGATGGGCCCTGCCTGGAAAACCAGTAGGAGGTGCAGAGATGTGGGGCCTGATGTGACTGAATGAGAACTGGAGCCAGAGAAGGTGGTGCTCAGAGTGGGACACTTAGCCTCAGAGGTGTTGCTGTGTTTATGACAAGTACTAACCCATAACCATGGGAAGAGGAAGAAACTGGAAGCAAATGTTTCCACTGTCTTCTGCCACCTGCCTCTGAAGTGGGTGCTTCCTCTCTGAATATTCTGCTGCAGCCTTGGCACTCTGGAATGTTCTAGGCTCACGGTTGGCACGGGTAGCCTCCTAAGTCAACTACTGGAAAATTATTGGAATGGTAACATAATGTTTTTTTTCCCTGAATTTTATCTTCTCTCCAATAGGTAGTATTTTTTCCATTGGAAGAAAAACATTAATCTTCTTATCGACATTCTCACAGCATAAGTGTAAAAATTGAAGCCAGTATTTTTTACTCTTCCTGAGATTTTTTTCTTTTCCTAATTACTCTAAGGGATTTTCAACTTCTCTCATGACATTAATACAGAGCAGTGGTTCTCAAACCTCAGTATGCATCAGTCACCTGGGCATTTACTAAGCGGATTGCTGGTCCTGACTCAGTAGACCCGGTCTGGGACCCAAGAATTTGCATTTCTGACAAGTTCCTGGGCAGTGATGCTGATGACTTTGGGGTCTCCACTTTGAGAACCACTGATACAGAGAAAAGGGTACAGCTGAACATAACATTTAATTCCCTAGGGAATGGGATGAAGGCTGAAATTCCAAGGTCTCTCAGCAGTACCTGCTCACATTTGTAGCTGTCTCCTTCAGACAGAACAGAAGGACACAATGGATTGTGAGTGTGCTCCTGACATTGTCACAATCAGACTTTTTATCGCCTTCTCGCCCAGCCTCACACAGCCCTCTGGGTCTTCTTTCTTTGCAACACAAGGGCAAGTGAAGCCAGGAAGGACTTTTGTGTGCATGTGTTCTCGTAAACCGTGGCAGTCAGTCTTGGCTAATGTTGACCGTACCCACATTTATTCTTCAGAAAGAAATAGTTAACTTAGTACTGCCCTCTTTAACTGAAAAGTCAATTTTTAAATATTTTAGCTATATTTTAACTTAAAGATTTCTCTTTTTAGTGATAAGAATAAGAGACACTTGATTCTTCTGACTGGGCTCACAGTGAAAATGCGCGCCAGAGTTTGGATCTGTAATTTTAAATGAAGGCGAAAAAATGTTCCAGACTGAAAAGCTTTAATGTTATAAGAAAGTATCCCTTCATATTTGTGTTTTTACTTTCATCTTTATGATTCTGTAGTGGCTGGGTATCCATGTTTGTTGTGAAAGTATATTATATGGAATATATTTTTGCCCCATAGTTATAATCATTTAAATCTTAATTGCAGCTGATGAGTAAAGAATCTCCTGTCTCTGCTGGGAATGATGCCTATGTTGACCTTGATCGCCAGGTATCTAAACTTTGCATTGTTTTCATCCATGCAGAGATTGAAAAGATAAACTTCAGATTTTAATGCAAAGAATGTTTTAATTGAAATTGCTTATGTGATATATTGGTATTATTCTTTATTTTTTGCCTAAAATTCAAGAACTTAAGCTACTTTACTATGGATATTACAAATTTGTATTTAAAATTGTAATTATTATTGCATATCCACTTTAAAATAATTTAGCTTATTTTAACTAGTGTTTTCTGGTCTTGATTTTTCTTTCTCTGTGTGCCATATTTTACACAATAGAAGAGTTCCTGGAAAATAGCATGCTTTTAGTCTTTTGATTTATTTATATAATACAAAAGATATTTTATCTTTTCTCTCACATTATTTTTCGATTGAAGATGTCTCCTCTATCCTTCATCTTTTTGAAGTGAACCATCTGTCAACTGATACTTAAATGCACTCAAGAATTACTATAATTTTAGAGGAACTCTGCAATGCATTTTTATGGCTTTAATGGAAAAATTACTTTGTAATTTTAATTACTGCTTTTTAACAAAACACTGTTCATCACATTCTTAGTTTCTGTGTCCCAGCTACCCCAGGTGTCCGTTCCATAGCATAAACAGACATCTTTGTGTCCTTTGCCTCCCATTGCTTCCCCAGGGTTTCTGGTATTTTGCAGGAACTTTGGACATGCTGTAATTTTAACCCAGGTTGTAATTTGTCTTTCCCTTACTTTGGTTATTTTAAAGTTGTTAACTTGGATGCGTTTTTTTGTGTGTCTATGACAGAGAGGTTTGGTCACATGAAATGGGAAACCAGTATGATTTCATTTTAATCATTTTTTTCTTTTTTTAAATTAAGTAATTAATCAATTTTAATTAATTGGTTCATATTTGCTAACTTAAGAGTTTATATAATAATGGGACACAAGTCAGGAATATTTGGCTTGTGTTGAAAATCAGAGTTACACAAATATTTAAAACAGAACAATACAAAGATTTATTTTAAAAATAATACACATATTTTAATTTAAAATTATTAATACAAATTAACCAAAGGTTTACTCTGACTAAAGAACTTGTGTTGAGATACACTAGCTATATATTTTAACAGTTGAAACCTCTGTCTTCTAGCACATACATATTTTATCAAGGTAAAATTTCTCAGTTATTACAGAATCAGCGTTGCCAGGAACCAAGTAACTCAAAAGATGCTGTGTAGAAAACTTGATATGAGGAAAGAACCCAATTCAAAGTACAGAAGAGACTAGATTTAGGAGTGAAAGATTCAGATGTAGAAGTGCTGCCTTCTGACTCATGCAGAGGGTTGTTCTGGATTTCTCCCTGCCCTGCAGGAAAACAAGGGGAATGTTTTAATTCTACATTGTACGTATGTAATTATTATTGCCACTTAATATTGAAATATTGATTGTATCTTTTTGTTTCTAACCAGTTGAAGAAAACGTCAGAAGAACTAAATGAAGCTTTGTCAGCAAAGGAAGAAATTGCACAAAGATGCCATGAACTGGACATGCAGGTAAGGGTCTTCTGTGTACCCCTACTGGGAATGCACCACCTCAAGTACCACCAAGCATGCCGTATGCTGCCATGGCATGCAGTTTATAATGCAGCTGTAATTGAGGAAAACAGATTTCTGGTTAAACATGGTAGACTGAGCAGATAAATTAATTTTCTTTCCTTCCTGTAACCCCATTATATTTATAATAAATGAATTAAAATGGTATAAAAACAAAAGAAAAGAAAGCAGAGGGATAAAGACAGGGGAGGGATTTCAGTGCTAGTTCTGGGGAAGTATGGGGAGATTTTACAAAGCCCTGATTTGTAGTGTTTGCCAATTTCCATAGTATAAATACTCTAACAGTGGCCACTTTCACATTATTTATGGTTTAACAGTCTGCTCACAAGACTTGAATTTTTCACAATCAGCTTGGTTATAGCCAGCTATAGAACACCAATCTTCAACCTCTGAAAGCCCGAGACAGTTGGAAAAGTGCTGAATGGCTGAAAGGAGTAAAGAATGTGCTGGCGCAGTGTTGGGGTGGGGAGGGAGAGGTGCTGTAGCAGAACCCCACAGAGAGCTCAGGTGTGACAGGAGGCTGGAATATGGTTTAACTAGTGGTACCTTACCGATTGAAGCCCCACTGACCCTGCTACTTCCTGATGTAGACTGACCTCTAGCCCCTTCCCTGTCTGAGAGTTCTTTATTAAAGAAATTAAACAGACAGGGTTAGGCAGAGTGTTAGTAGTGCAGGGTACGGTCCTTTGAGGTTGACCTTTCTGGGCCCTGTAATTTACATAAAGGTTAGTTTACAAACAAGAGCATACAAGGTGTTTTTTGAACACCTGTTTTTTTGTTTTTGTTTTTGGTATCATTAATCTACAATTACATGAGGAACATTATGTTTACTAGGCTCCCCCCTTCACCAAGTCCCCCCAACAAACCCCACTGCAGTCACTGTCCATCAGCTTAGTAAGATGCTATAGAGTCACTACTTGTCTTCTCTGTGCACACCTGTTTTTAATTCTTTCAGTTCTATACCCAGAAATTGATTTGTTGGGTCAAATGGTAATTCTGTTGAACTTCCTGAGGAAGCAGCAAACTGCCTCCTATTGGTGTCTGCCCTGTTTTACATTCTCACCAGCAGTGCACTAGTAGTCTGATGTTCTCTACCTCCTTGCCAGCCCTTGTTATTGTCCCATCTTTTTGGTGACAGCCATCCTAGGAGGTGTGATGTGGTATCTCATTGTGATTTACTTGCATTTCCCTAAAGACTAATGATGTTGAGCATATTTTCATGTGTTTATTGGCCATTTGTATATTATCTTTGGAGAAATGTGAATGGCAGTCAAGTAAATTATAGTCTTAACTATTTTAAATGTTAATAGGAAGAAAGAGAAAGATGGAGGTTGTGCCATAGGAAAGGATGAAAAGTAGGAAAGATTTGCCATAATCCCTAGAGGGAATAAAGCACCAGCTGACTGGGGAAGCATATCAACTTTGGGGGCAGCCGCTTTGAAGGCCCAGTTGAAATTGGTAACTATGTATTAACGGTGTTTTGTGATTTTAAAAATTGTTTTACTCTCAGTACTTAGCAGTCCAGGATATATGGCCAGAAGATACAGATAGTCAGATATTGGATTGAGATTTTGCCAGGAAGAAGGAACTGAAGTAAGAACATTGATGATGTTGACAGAAGTCATTCAAAGTAATGGACTGTGAAATCTAGGCTAGAAAGAGAAGATTAAACCGGACTGTGAAACCTAGGCTAGAAAGAGAAGATTAAACCAATGGTGAACCATGGAATCTCAAGTGGGAAGGGGAGATTCCTCAAAGTAAGATGATGTAGTAGAAGAAAGGGGAGTCAACTTCAGGCGGCAACACAATAATGTTCACTAAGCAAAGCAAGGAAGAAAACAAATCTAAGGATGGGCCCTGCCTGGAAAACCAGTAGGAGGTGCAGAGATGTGGGGCCTGATGTGACTGAATGAGAACTGGAGCCAGAGAAGGTGGTGCTCAGAGTGGGACACTTAGCCTCAGAGGTGTTGCTGTGTTTATGACAAGTACTAACCCATAACCATGGGAAGAGGAAGAAACTGGAAGCAAATGTTTCCACTGTCTTCTGCCACCTGCCTCTGAAGTGGGTGCTTCCTCTCTGAATATTCTGCTGCAGCCTTGGCACTCTGGAATGTTCTAGGCTCACGGTTGGCACGGGTAGCCTCCTAAGTCAACTACTGGAAAATTATTGGAATGGTAACATAATGTTTTTTTTCCCTGAATTTTATCTTCTCTCCAATAGGTAGTATTTTTTCCATTGGAAGAAAAACATTAATCTTCTTATCGACATTCTCACAGCATAAGTGTAAAAATTGAAGCCAGTATTTTTTACTCTTCCTGAGATTTTTTTCTTTTCCTAATTACTCTAAGGGATTTTCAACTTCTCTCATGACATTAATACAGAGCAGTGGTTCTCAAACCTCAGTATGCATCAGTCACCTGGGCATTTACTAAGCGGATTGCTGGTCCTGACTCAGTAGACCCGGTCTGGGACCCAAGAATTTGCATTTCTGACAAGTTCCTGGGCAGTGATGCTGATGACTTTGGGGTCTCCACTTTGAGAACCACTGATACAGAGAAAAGGGTACAGCTGAACATAACATTTAATTCCCTAGGGAATGGGATGAAGGCTGAAATTCCAAGGTCTCTCAGCAGTACCTGCTCACATTTGTAGCTGTCTCCTTCAGACAGAACAGAAGGACACAATGGATTGTGAGTGTGCTCCTGACATTGTCACAATCAGACTTTTTATCGCCTTCTCGCCCAGCCTCACACAGCCCTCTGGGTCTTCTTTCTTTGCAACACAAGGGCAAGTGAAGCCAGGAAGGACTTTTGTGTGCATGTGTTCTCGTAAACCGTGGCAGTCAGTCTTGGCTAATGTTGACCGTACCCACATTTATTCTTCAGAAAGAAATAGTTAACTTAGTACTGCCCTCTTTAACTGAAAAGTCAATTTTTAAATATTTTAGCTATATTTTAACTTAAAGATTTCTCTTTTTAGTGATAAGAATAAGAGACACTTGATTCTTCTGACTGGGCTCACAGTGAAAATGCGCGCCAGAGTTTGGATCTGTAATTTTAAATGAAGGCGAAAAAATGTTCCAGACTGAAAAGCTTTAATGTTATAAGAAAGTATCCCTTCATATTTGTGTTTTTACTTTCATCTTTATGATTCTGTAGTGGCTGGGTATCCATGTTTGTTGTGAAAGTATATTATATGGAATATATTTTTGCCCCATAGTTATAATCATTTAAATCTTAATTGCAGCTGATGAGTAAAGAATCTCCTGTCTCTGCTGGGAATGATGCCTATGTTGACCTTGATCGCCAGGTATCTAAACTTTGCATTGTTTTCATCCATGCAGAGATTGAAAAGATAAACTTCAGATTTTAATGCAAAGAATGTTTTAATTGAAATTGCTTATGTGATATATTGGTATTATTCTTTATTTTTTGCCTAAAATTCAAGAACTTAAGCTACTTTACTATGGATATTACAAATTTGTATTTAAAATTGTAATTATTATTGCATATCCACTTTAAAATAATTTAGCTTATTTTAACTAGTGTTTTCTGGTCTTGATTTTTCTTTCTCTGTGTGCCATATTTTACACAATAGAAGAGTTCCTGGAAAATAGCATGCTTTTAGTCTTTTGATTTATTTATATAATACAAAAGATATTTTATCTTTTCTCTCACATTATTTTTCGATTGAAGATGTCTCCTCTATCCTTCATCTTTTTGAAGTGAACCATCTGTCAACTGATACTTAAATGCACTCAAGAATTACTATAATTTTAGAGGAACTCTGCAATGCATTTTTATGGCTTTAATGGAAAAATTACTTTGTAATTTTAATTACTGCTTTTTAACAAAACACTGTTCATCACATTCTTAGTTTCTGTGTCCCAGCTACCCCAGGTGTCCGTTCCATAGCATAAACAGACATCTTTGTGTCCTTTGCCTCCCATTGCTTCCCCAGGGTTTCTGGTATTTTGCAGGAACTTTGGACATGCTGTAATTTTAACCCAGGTTGTAATTTGTCTTTCCCTTACTTTGGTTATTTTAAAGTTGTTAACTTGGATGCGTTTTTTTGTGTGTCTATGACAGAGAGGTTTGGTCACATGAAATGGGAAACCAGTATGATTTCATTTTAATCATTTTTTTCTTTTTTTAAATTAAGTAATTAATCAATTTTAATTAATTGGTTCATATTTGCTAACTTAAGAGTTTATATAATAATGGGACACAAGTCAGGAATATTTGGCTTGTGTTGAAAATCAGAGTTACACAAATATTTAAAACAGAACAATACAAAGATTTATTTTAAAAATAATACACATATTTTAATTTAAAATTATTAATACAAATTAACCAAAGGTTTACTCTGACTAAAGAACTTGTGTTGAGATACACTAGCTATATATTTTAACAGTTGAAACCTCTGTCTTCTAGCACATACATATTTTATCAAGGTAAAATTTCTCAGTTATTACAGAATCAGCGTTGCCAGGAACCAAGTAACTCAAAAGATGCTGTGTAGAAAACTTGATATGAGGAAAGAACCCAATTCAAAGTACAGAAGAGACTAGATTTAGGAGTGAAAGATTCAGATGTAGAAGTGCTGCCTTCTGACTCATGCAGAGGGTTGTTCTGGATTTCTCCCTGCCCTGCAGGAAAACAAGGGGAATGTTTTAATTCTACATTGTACGTATGTAATTATTATTGCCACTTAATATTGAAATATTGATTGTATCTTTTTGTTTCTAACCAGTTGAAGAAAACGTCAGAAGAACTAAATGAAGCTTTGTCAGCAAAGGAAGAAATTGCACAAAGATGCCATGAACTGGACATGCAGGTAAGGGTCTTCTGTGTACCCCTACTGGGAATGCACCACCTCAAGTACCACCAAGCGTGCCGTATGCTGCCATGGCATGCAGTTTATAATGCAGCTGTAATTGAGGAAAACAGATTTCTGGTTAAACATGGTAGACTGAGCAGATAAATTAATTTTCTTTCCTTCCTGTAACCCCATTATATTTATAATAAATGAATTAAAATGGTATAAAAACAAAAGAAAAGAAAGCAGAGGGATAAAGACAGGGGAGGGATTTCAGTGCTAGTTCTGGGGAAGTATGGGGAGATTTTACAAAGCCCTGATTTGTAGTGTTTGCCAATTTCCATAGTATAAATACTCTAACAGTGGCCACTTTCACATTATTTATGGTTTAACAGTCTGCTCACAAGACTTGAATTTTTCACAATCAGCTTGGTTATAGCCAGCTATAGAACACCAATCTTCAACCTCTGAAAGCCCGAGACAGTTGGAAAAGTGCTGAATGGCTGAAAGGAGTAAAGAATGTGCTGGCGCAGTGTTGGGGTGGGGAGGGAGAGGTGCTGTAGCAGAACCCCACAGAGAGCTCAGGTGTGACAGGAGGCTGGAATATGGTTTAACTAGTGGTACCTTACCGATTGAAGCCCCACTGACCCTGCTACTTCTGATGTAGACTGACCTCTAGCCCCTTCCCTGTCTGAGAGTTCTTTATTAAAGAAATTAAACAGACAGGGTTAGGCAGAGTGTTAGTAGTGCAGGGTACGGTCCTTTGAGGTTGACCTTTCTGGGCCCTGTAATTTACATAAAGGTTAGTTTCTGGTGGGTCAGCCCGGAAGTGTGAAGCCCCTGAATGGACAAGATGCTATTTTAAAGAGGAAAAATCAGAGGTTAAGAAACACTTAAGTAAAATAAAAGTAGAATTGTCAAAACAGAAAATTCAAGAAACTAGTTAAAGCTCAGGATGTCTCTCACACATAAAAAATAAGAAAAATTATTTGAGATGTACCTCAAAATCAGTGGATGCAGGTACAGATGAGACATAATTGGCCATGCTCTGTTACTTGTTGAAGCTGAGGAATGGGTGCACAGAATTCACAGTATTTGTCCCAGAGGCATTTGCTCTGCAGGGCTTGGGCAGCAGTGAGTTGCTCAGGGTGAAGGCGGGGAAAGTGTCATCATCATACTTGTCGGATTGTGTGTAAAGTATATGTGCCTGGTCACAATGTAATTGCTGTTAATTGCTTGTCAGAATTTTAGAATTTAACTATACACGAATGCTAGGATCTATAATAATAAATAGTTGATTGTTTTTGTGAGCAGGATATAAATGTTACCTTTGATAATATAAAGTTAAAGTCATACCCTGGGATTGGCAAATTGCAACTTGCCATCTGTTTTTGTAAATAAAGTTTTATTGCAACACAGCCACACTCATTCATTGACGTGCTGTCTGTGGCTGTTTTCACACTACAGTGACAGAGTACTTACCACAGAAACCTATGGCTCTCAAAGCCCAGGATACTCACTGCTTGATTCTTTACAGAAATTTACCAATCCTTGGCATTGACAGATTGCAGTGTGAATGGCAGGGTTGCAGAGAGGTCGTGGAAAGGAAAGGGGTAACCCTAGAACACGCTTAGCTCCACAGGAAACAGTGACACTGCCATTAGTAAGGTGATCGCCAGTGTAATAATGTCACTTGATTAGTTCTCAACATTAGAATTGTCCTGTGGATAACGTTACTGTGAGCACAGAGGCACAGATGACAGGCACAGAGGAAAACTGCAGGAGCAGTGAGCAATGCCAGGGCCGCCAGGTTTCTCACCTCACCAGGCGGGCGTCCAGAGCCACTTCTGGGGGCAACGGTCATTAGGTGACTGGCTGTTCTTTGTCATTCAACATCAGCTCACAATCCCCCAGTTTATTTGTCATAAGGTATTTATTGGGCACTTAGATGTACCAGGCACTAAAGCAGGCCTTGGGGAAGGCCCTTCATCATCAGCCACGAGCTTAGGCTGTTGGGAACATGGCACCAGTGGGCTTGCTCAGCACACAGCCACCACAGGCAAGGCACAGTGCAGTGAGGTGTGCCCGCAGTCTCCTTTTTCTGTGTGTGTGAAAAAGGTTTCTGCCAAATATACAGGGGTACTTCATTTTAAAAGCCTGGAAGAGCAAAAATGAAGGAAATGGGCTCTTTGTGTAGAATAGAGCTACTGCTGTGTTCTGAGAAAAGACTGATGCATTTATGGAAATCTGACAAATTACAGAGCCAGCATTTCAGAGTCATTCATTTTTGTATCAAACACTGGAGCACCCAATGTGGACCATCCATTGCCCGGGGTGCTGTGGGTACAGCAAAGACTGGGGCAAACAGACAGAAATAGGTGAAACATCCCTGCTCCCAAAGTGCATACATTCACAGACAATAAACGGAATAAGAATACAGTCTGTTGTGTGCAGCCAACTATTCTAGAGAGAATAAAATAGGGAAGGTAGAAGTGGGAACACACGGGAGGAAGAATTAGTTTTAAATTGGGTAGTCAACGAAAGCATTCCAGAGAAGGTGACATGTTAGTAAGACCCTGACGAGGCTGGAGGAGCAGGGCTCCCAGTTTCCAGGGAGGGCACACCAGGCCAAGTCCTGGGGCCCAAGGGGAAGTGCAGCTATGGATTCCAGGAACAAGATGAGGATGGCAGGAGGAGAACAGAGCGTGAGATGAGAAAATCTGTCTGGAGCCTGTGTGGCCTGTGTAAAGATGTTGACTTTGAGTAAATGGGAAGCCATTGCAGGATTTTTTGAGCAAAGTGGTCATATGACCTTAGTTTTGTTTCAGTGGCTTATTGTGGCTGCTGTGTGGAGACTAGACTGAGGAGAGGCAAGGGCCAATTTAAGGAGACTACTTAAGAGACCATTGCAATAATCCAGGCAGAAGGTTATATTGGCTTAGAATGGAATTCAGGGCTGGTGAGAAGTGGTCAAAATATGTTTGAAGATAGAGCCAATGATATTTGCTCTCAGATTGGGTGTGGCTGTGAGGGAGAGACATTAAGGATTATGACGGTAACTGGAAGGTACCTGGAAGGACAGAGTTCCCATTCACTGAAAGGAGACGACTGGAGGGCAAGAGTAATTAAACATTCCACTCGGATAATTTCAATTTGAGATGCCAATTAGACCTCCAAGTGGAAATGATACCCAGTATAGGGTCCCAGGCTAGAAATAGAATGTGTGAGCTGTCAGTGAATAGATGATGTTGACAGCCATGAAGCTGGAAGCCATCGTTGTATTTAGAAAAGAAGAGCTATAAGCCACTCTGGTCGGGGAAGAAAGAATTGATGCAGGAGAAAGAGAACTGAATTGGTAGAGACACCAGGAGAGTGAGATGTCCTGGAAGCCATGTGAAGAAAATGCCCCAAGGAGGGGGATGTGATGACTTGTGTCAAATGTTGTTGACTGATCTCAAGGTCAGTAGTGCTCCCGAGGAGCATCTTCAGTGGGGTGACAGGGCCAATAGCCCAGTTAAAATGAGCTCAACAGAGAACGCAGTGGAGAAGCAGGGTTACAAATGGCAGGCGGCTTTTGTTGTTACAGCTTTCCTGAGATATAATTGACATACAATGAACAGCTCATACTTAAGGTATACAGTTTCTGGTATATGTTGACATATGTATAAACACATGAAACCATCAGCAAAATCAGTGTAATGAACCCATCACCCCAAAAAGTTTCCTCCTGACTCCTGTAGTCCCCTTCCTGTCCCCAGCTCTTCTCTCAGTCCATATAGATTAGCCTGTGTCTTCTAAAATTGTATATAAAAGGAATCATGCAGTATAGACTCCATTATTTGTGTAATTTCTTTCATTATTTTGAGATTCATTCCTGTTGTCAGTATCAGTAATTCTTTTTTACTGCCAAATACTATTCTCTTGTGCTAAAACTTATCCATTCATCTGTCGATGAACATTTTTCTTGTATCTGGTTTTTCTCTATCACAAACGAAGCTGCTGTAAACATTCTTTGTAAGTCTTTGTGTGAACATACACTTTTATTTCTCATGAGTAAAAAAATACACAGGAATAGAACAGCTGTGTCATATGATAGTCACCTGTTTAATTTTTTAGAAAGATGCAAAAGTGTTTTCCAAAGTGCTTGAAACTCTTTACATCCTCAACAGAGTGTATGAAGAGTTTGATTTTTTTCTACATCTTTGTCAACACTTGGTGCAGCCAGTTTTTTAAATTTTAGCCATTCCAGTGGGATGTGTTGGTATAACATTGTGGTTTTAGTTTGTGTTTCCCTAGTGGCTAATTATGAGTATCTTTTTGTGTGTTTAGTTGTTATCTGTGTATCTCCTTTGGTAAACTCTCTTTTCAGGTATAAAGAATGAATTCTTGCTTATTCTTACATGTTGTTCTGCCTGTGCAGTAGTCCAAAATAATGTAAATGTTTTAAGTGGAGGTTGATTGTACTTCTTTAAAAAGAGGCTGTAACTCATAATGGTAACTCACAAGTGACTATGCTAATGCCAGTGTGACTGAAAGAATTAACTGCCACTCTCTTACATTCTAACAGGTTGCAGCATTGCAAGAGGAGAAGAGTAGTCTGTTGGCAGAGAATCAGGTATTAATGGAAAGACTTAATCAGTCTGATTCTATAGAAGATCCTAACAGCCCAGCAGGAAGAAGGCATCTGCAGCTCCAGACTCAGTTAGAACAGCTCCAAGAAGAAACATTCAGGTGAAAGACCATTCCCTAAAATTTAGCTGTTAGAGATTTGGTAACTGTCTTTTAAAGTTAAGAATTAGTGTTAGCTATGTAAGAATTTGTTCACCATGTAAGAACTTGTTATGCTTCAGAAGATTGGAGACTGTTGAGAACTAGGCTTGGAGTTGATTAATGATTGTGCATTGAGTCCCCTATACAGAATTTTATTGCTGTTAACAACCATTTGATCAATAAATATGAGAGATGTCCTCTCAAAAAAAAAAAAGGGGAATATAGTGTTAGGACTCGTGAGTAACTGCAGGCCAAGGCAGTGTAGGAAGCAGCCTCCCAAAAATCTTCCTACACAAAATGAAACAACTTCACATCTAGGAAAACCTCATCAAAGCTACACCCTCAGCAGTACTTGAAGACAGAATGCCCCAACTGCAGCTTAACCGTGAGTGAAAGGGGGAAAACACACACCTGCCCGGCCTACATTCTGCACATGCTTTGAGGCCAGTAAACATCAAAGACAACAAAAAGAAGTTTAAGAAAAGGAAAATACTAACATCTCATTTATGAATAAATAATACAGTAGTAAATTCAATCTAGTACTATATTAAAGTAAACTTTATCCCGGGATTGTTAACCTGTGGAATATCATTATATCTATTAAAATAACTGTTAAATGATTTGTGCAACCATTGTGGGAAGCAATGTGGAGGTTCCTCAAAAAACTAAAAATAGAAATACCTTTTGACCCAGTAACTCCACTTCTAGGAATTTATGCAAAGAAAACAAGATCCCTGCTTCAAAAAGACATATGCACCCCTTTGTTTATCATGGCACTATTTGCAATAGCCAAGATACGGAAGCAACCTATGTGTCCATCAGTAGATGAATGGATAAAGAAGAGATGGTACATATACACAGTAGAATATTATTCAGCCATAAAAAGAAAAGAAATCCTGCCATTTGCAACAACGTGGATGTATCTAAAGAGTATTTTGCTCAGTGAAATAAGCCAGGTGGAGAAAGACAAGTACCAAATGATTTCACTTATTTATGGAGTATAAAAATAAAGCAAAACAGAAGGAACAAAAATACCAGCAGACTCAGAGACACCGAGAAGGGACTAGTGGTTACCAAGGGAGAGGGATTGGAGAGGGTGCGGGGGGAGGGGGAAGGGGATAAAGGGGCACAATAATTTGCAATCACAATATAGGTTGGTCATGGGGATGGTGGAACAGCATGAAGAAAACAGTTAATGATTCTGTAACATTTTACTGCATTGAGGGACAGTGACCACACTGGAGGAGGTGAAGACTTGATAATATGGGTGAATGTTGAACCACTGTGTTGTGTATTTGAAACCAGCATAAGATTGTATATCAATAATACTTTAATAAATAAATAACAGTTAAATATGTTGTTATAACTCCTTCAATCCATAAGTTATAGGAGAAAGAAAAGTATAAAATAAGCTTGGTTTGGGAAATTCTCAGTAAAGTTAAGAACAAAAGGCAGATGAATATTAATCTGTTGCTTGACTTTTTTTCTAGACGTTCTAAAAATCCTGACCGTGACACTTAAGTCTCTGTACAATCTTGGGCAGGCTTTCATTTCTTCCACTCTAAGGTGGTCTAATAGTATTAACTACCTTCTAGAATTTTTGTGAACATTAAATAAGTTAATATATGTAAAGTATTGAGAATATTGCCTAGAATATAGGTTCTACATAAGATTTAGCTATTATTACTGCTTTTTTAGAAAATGAAATTTTTTTTAAAAAATGAGGTGAAAATACAGAAAGACAAAAAATAAGTGATCATTATTTGTAGATACTAAGTCCATCTACAAAATAGAGTCAACTGAACGGTTCTTAGAACCAATAAACATTTAGCAGGGAAATGGTAAGTACAGGACATTTGCATAGGTTATAAGCTTTTCTAGCAATAAGTACTTAGTATCATAAGGAAAAGGCTTCCATTTGTATGTATACAAGTCCTTGAAGAATAAAAAAAAGTAAAAGTAACATGAGGAACTTGTATGATGAAAACTTCTAAGTTTTACATAAAAAAATACATGGAGAGAGAGAATATCATGGTTTTACTTTTTTTTATATCATTAATGTACAATTATTTGAACAACATTATGGTTACTAGACTCCCCATATTATCAAGTCCCCCCCACATACCCATTACAGTCACTATCTATCAGCATAATAAGATGCTATAGAATCATTACTTGTCTTCTCTGTATATACTGCCTTCCCCATGTCCCCACCCCCCTACATTATGTGTGCTAATCGTAATGCCCTGTTTTCACCCTTATCTGTCCCTTCCCACCCATCCACCCCAGTCCTTTTCCCTTTGGTAACTGTTAGTCCATTCTTGGGTTCTGTGATTCTGCTGATGTTTTGTTCCTTCAGTATTATCTTTGTTGTTATACTCCACATATGAGTGAAATCATTTGATACTTGTCTTTCTCCACCTGGCTTATTTCACTGAGCATAATACCCTCTAGCTCCATGCATGTTGTTGCAAATGGTAGGATTTGTTTCCTTCTTAGGGCTGAATAATATTCCATTCTGTATATGTATCACATCTTATCCATTCATCTACTGATGGATACTTAGGTTGCTTCCATTTCTTGGCTATTGTAAATAGTGCTGCGATAAACATAGTGTATATGTCTTTTTCAAACTGGACTGCTGCATTCTTAGGGTAAATTCCTAAGAGTGGAATTCCTAGGTCAAATGGTATGTCTATTTTGAGTTTTTTGAGGAGCCTCCATATTGCTTTCCACAATGGTTGAACTAGTTTACATTCCCACCAGCAGTGTAGGAGGGTTCCCCTTTCTCCACATCCTTGCCAACATTTGTTGTTGTTTCATTTGGATGTTGGCCATCCTAACTGGTGTGAGGTGGTATCTCATTGTGGTTTTAATTTACATTTCTCTGATGATTAGCAATGTGGAGCATCTTTACATGTGTCTGTTGGCCATCTGAATTTCTTCTTTGGAGAACTGTCTGTTCAGTTCCTCTGCCCATTTTTTAATTGGATTATTTGCTTTTTGTTTGTTGAGGTGTGTGAGCTCTTTATATATTTTGGATGTCAACCCTTTATCGGATCTGTCATTTATGAATATATTCTCCCATACTGTAGGATGTCTTTTTGTTCTACTGATGGAGTCCTTTGCTGCACAGAAGCTTTTTAGTTTGATATAGTCCCACTTGTTCATTTTTGCTTTTGTTTCCCTTGCCTGGGGAGATATGTTCATGAAGAAGTTACTCATGTTTATGTCCAAAACATTTTTGCCTATATTTTTTTCTAAGAGTTTTATGGTTTCATGACTTACATTCAGGTCTTTGATCCATTTTGAGTTTACTTTTGTGTACAGGGTTAGACAATAATCCAGTTTCTTCTCTTACATGTATTGTCCTGTTTTGCCAACACCAGCTGTTGAAGAAGCTGTCATTTCCCCATTGTATATCCATGGCTCCTTTATCATATATTAATTGACCATATATGCTTGGGTTTATATCTGTACTCTCTAGTCTGTTCCATTGGTCTATGGGTCTGTTCTTGTGCCAGTACCAAATTGTCTTGATTACTGTGTGGCTTTGTAATAGAGCTTGAAGTCAGGGAGCATATTTCCCCCTGCTTTATTCTTCCTTCTCAGGATTGCTTTGGCTATTTGGGGTCTTTTGTGCTTCCATATGAATTTTAGAACTGTTTGCTGTAGTTCATTGAAGAATTCTGTAGGTATTTTGATAGATTTCTTTAGGCAGGATGGCCATTTTGTCAGTATTAATTCTTCCTAGCCAAGAGCATGGGATGAATTTCTGTTTATTAGTGTCCTCTTTAATTTATTTTAAGAGTGTCCCATAGTTTTCAGGGTATAGGTCTTTCACTTCCTTGCTTAGGCTTATTCCTAACTATTTTATTCTTTTTGATGCAATTGTGAATGGAATTGTTTTCCTGATTTCTCCCTCTGCTACTTCATCATTAGTGTATAGGAATGCCACAGATTTCTGTGTATTAATTTTGTATCCTGCAACTTTGCTGAATTCAGAGATTAGATCTAGTAGTTTTGGAGTGGATTCTTAAGGGTTTTTTACATACAATATCATGTCATCTGCAAACAGGGACAGTTCAACTTTTTCCTTCCCAATCTGGATGCCTTTTATTTCTTTGTGTTGTCTGATTGCTGTGGCTAGGACCTCCAGAACTATGTTGAATAAAAGTGGGAGAGTGGGCATCCTTGTCTTGTTCCCGATCTTAGAGGAAAAGCTTTCAGCTTCTCACTGTTAAGTATGATGTTGGCTGTGGGTTTTTCATATATGGCCTTTATTATGTTGAGGTACTTGCCCTCTATACCCATTTTGTTGAGAGTTTTTATCATGAATGGATGTTGGATTTTGTCAAATGCTTTTTCAGTATCTATAAAGATGATCATGTGGTTTTTGTCCTTTTTGTTGATGTAGTGGATAATGTTGATGGATTTTCTAATGTTGTACCATCCTTGCATCCCTGGGATGAACCCCACTTGATCATGATGGGTGATCTTTTTGATGTATTTTTGTTTTTACATGTTTTTATGGAGCTGTGTAAGAATGCCATTTTCCCTTAAGTTATTATATAATTTGGACTTGATTCCAAATTAAATTTTATGTTCACCCAGAAGTGTTAATAAGCAAGAGATTCCCAGAACATTTGAGAACAGAGTATAATGAGTACTTACCATATCCAGTGTTGAAATCTGTTATGAACCTACTAATTATACTAGTTAAAATAGATTGGTGCTGGTGCAAGAAAACGCGGACAGACCAGTGACCCAAGTGAAGATCCAGAACCCAATCTAATGTATATGAAAATGTGTAATATGACAAAGGTGGCATTTTCTCATCAGTAGGAAAAGGTTAAATTATTTGGTAAGTGGTTCGGGGACAGTTGGTAGGTATTTTGGAAGGAAAATCTAAACTCCTATGCTACATCATATACCAAAGTGAATTCAAGGGAAATTGAGAACCTTAATGTTAAAAATGAAACCATATAAATACTAACAGAAAATAGAGGATAAAAGAAAAAAATCCATTTAGTCATACACTAACATGAAAACTATGAAGTATAAGAGTCATCAATTGAATTACATAAAAGTTAAGAATTTCTCAGATGAAAATAAAATTTTATTACATAAAATTAAAAGTAAATAATCAGTGATAAATATTTGTAGCATGAGAGACAGAATCTTACAAATCGAAAGGAAAGATTTATGTTAAGCAAAAAAAATCAAAAGTAGAAACAGTATAACCATATTTGGGAGAGAAATGATGTAGGACTAGAAATCAGACTGGAGGATATAGTCTAAAAATGTTAACAATAGCAATCTATTTAGATGAGTACATGATTAGCTTCTTTGCTTTTCTGTATTTTGTAACTCCAACAAGGAATGTCAGTTAATTTCATAATGATAAATAAAATTTTAAATAAATATATCTACTGCATTTTGAAAAATATTACTTGATGTCTAACTTTGTGAAGAAAGGACTGGTAATTTGTTGCTGGCGTTTCACAAGCCGTGAAACGGTGGGATCCATTTTCAGGAGAGCTGAGACCTGGAAATTTAGCTCATAGTCACAGGAGCAGGAGACAATCCAAGAAGAGTTTATTCTCATGCTTTTTAGTTACTTTGTCCTAAAGAGAATTATTAGACAGGAAATAGTACTTTCTTTGTCCGTTTTGTTTTGGTTACAGACTAGAAGCAGCCAAAGATGATTATCGAATACGCTGTGAAGAGTTAGAAAAGGAAATCTCTGAGCTTCGGCAGCAGAATGATGAACTCACCACTTTGGCAGATGAAGCTCAGTCTCTAAAAGATGAAATCGACGTGCTTAGGTAAGCAGTCTTCTCGTCTCTGCAGAACCTTAGACCTGTCACCACCTAGAGCAGTTCTTCCACTGTGTTGCACGCTCTCAGGTTTCCGAGCCTCGCAGGGTATGTAAGAGTTAGAGCACCTGAGTTCAGATCCCGGTGTTACCATGGTGTAACCACTTCCTCGTCTGTAAAATGAAAATGTACGCATACCTACCTCAGATTTATATGCAGAATTAAGTAAGTTTATATTTATATTTTATATTCCAACTTAATGGAACAGTATCTGGCAAATAAGTGCTACATAAATATTTGTTAAATAGAAATTAATCTCTTACCATCGCTTCATACCTTTATAGCTCTGGAGTTTCCTTACTGAGACCCCCTTTTTTTAAATTTTGAACCCTCTGGTTGCTTGGTCTTCCTTTTCTTGGGCTTCATTTCTCTGCTGGACCTTTACCTTCGCCTCAGCCACTCTCTCCCTGCTGCCTCATCTTTTCACCTCTGCTTCCTGGGTATGCATCTCTGTTGGATCATTCCAGCCATCTGTGTTCTACACTTTTGCTCCTTGAATACTATGAACAAATAGAGAAATACATAGTGGTCCAGCTTTGTCCCATACAAGTTAATGGTCTTCCCTCTTCGCTGGGCTCTTAGCACTGGCCCCCATTCGACTTCTCACCAGTAGGGAGCTGTCACCCACTTCTCTCTCAGCTGTCATGTATTTTCACTGCTCTGTTTGCCTGAATACCACCCCACCACACCTCCTATGCCTTGGGTCAGTAGATGACCTTGTCTGCTACTTGGAGGAAAGGGACTAGGGACTGTGGAGCTCTCCAGGTCTTCTGTTTCCTGCACTCCCAGCTTGCCTGCATTTCCACCCATCTTTTCTTTTTTGTTCCTAGAGTGTGGACTCGTTATTCTTCCTCCCATCTGCCGCTGATTCCTTCTTCAGAGCCGTGGGTCTTAGCCCTTCCTGCTTACATAGGTTACATCAGTTATCATTGCGCTTCACATTTGAATCTCCCTCCTTGACATGTATTTATATGGTTAGGTCTCTCTCATCTTAGAAAAAGAGGGAGACTTTCCACTCTCTTCTTCCCTCCAGAACAAATTTAGATTACACAAGGTAAAATTTATGTTCTCTCTGTAACCCCCGAAAATTGCCCATCACCCGTCCCCATTGCTACCCTGAAACAGCTGTTCCCATAGTCACCGAAACATGCTGGTTGCCAGATAATTTGGACACCACACAATTTACTATGTTTTTGTGCTGCATGAGACTCTGCTAGCTACCCCCGCCCCCACCTTAAATTATATAACATTCTCCATTACAAATTTTGCTATGATTTTCATCATATCTTTTAACCTGAGCAAAAAATTAATGTGCAATCACCTTTGGTCTTTAGAATGTGTAATTTTGGGGAAATCTCCCTTGGTTTAGCACTGCCTAAAACAGCTTTACAACTGTGGATGTTTCTGATTTTAATTTCCCATCTCATTCTAGACATTCTTCTGATAAGGTATCTAAACTAGAAGGCCAAGTGGAATCCTATAAAAAGAAGCTAGAAGATCTTGGTGATTTGAGGCGGCAGGTCAAACTCTTAGAAGAGAAGAACACTATGTACATGCAGAACACTGTCGGTCTAGAGGAGGAGTTAAGAAAAGCCAACGCAGCTCGAAGCCAACTTGAGACATACAAGAGACAGGTAAAAGAGTAGCAGCGAGTTCCCCGATGGCGGTTCAAGCAGGCTCTGTGTCAAAACACCATGATTTACCAAAACTCTACTCATTTTTATTTCCATGGTATTCTGTTCTCTTAACAAGGAAAGTTAGTTTTTATCCAGAGGTTATTGAAGGGTCTCCATTGTTTCTTTCATTGGTTTTTTATTTTTTAGTATGTGATACTTAAGAAATACCCAAAAGTAAAAAGAAATACAAAAGTATCCATGCTTAAAAAATAAAACATACTTTTCCCTTCCTCAGAGTAACCGCTGTGCTGCTGTGTGGTTTTCATTCCCATGCGTGTCTCTATTCTTTTGCTGCATATATATGTTTACTTATATTTTGTAACATTTTTTAGGTGTTTCACATGATAAGAATGGTGTAGTGAAAGGACTCCTGGAATTTATTTTGTTCAGTAGCTGATTTGGGGAGGCTTGCTTATGTTAGTAGGTATAGCTTTATTCCATTCGTTTGCACTGCTGTGTAGGGTCCTGTTGAGTCACTGCTGCTGTTTATCCATTTTCTGTTGAAGGACGTTTATAAAAGATGTTTCAACTTCTTTTATATTACAAGAAACATCATTATGAATAATACTGAATGTCCTTCTATACAGGTGTGGAAGTTTTACAACTATGTGGAATTTCTTTCTCAGTATTTTCATTTAATTAGGTATAGCCAAATTGTCCTCTAAAATGATTGTATTACTAAAAGAATTTTGTATGAATTCCTGTTGCTCCACATAGTATTGTCATACTTGAAATTTTGTCAGTTAGATGCTGGGAAATGGTGTCTCCTTATGATTATATATACATTGTGTTACCCCAGTTACAGATGTATCTACTGATCACATTTCTTTTGTGAATTGCCTTTTATCTTTCATTCATTTTAAAAATTGGATTATTTCTTTTTGACTTCAGAAATTCTTCATATGTTCTTGATGTTGGTCTTTTATCACTTATACCTGTTGCATTTATTTTCTACCAATCTTTTTTGAGATTGATTTATGACTTACACTTTTTATGTCTTATTTAAGAAGTCGTTTTCTACAGAATCATGTAAGACTAATCTCTATTTTCTTAACAAAGATTTAAAGTTTGTTTTGCATATTTAGATCTCTAATCCATGTGGAACTGATTTTTGTATGGGGTGCAAGGTTAGGGATTCTCTCAATACTTTTGTGTCTATATGCCACCAGTCAGCGTAGGTGCATTTATTTAATAAACTCTTAAGCAATGACCTGCAACTCTGCCTTACCATATAAAGTTTCCGTGTTATATGTGTAGGTTTGTTTCTAGGCACTCTTTTTATTTATTTATTTTATTTTTGTTTTGTTTTGTTTTGTTTTGTTATCATTAATCTACAATTACATGAAGAACATTATGTTTACTAGGGTCCCCCCTTCACCAAGTCCCCCCCACAAACCCCATTACAGTCATTGTCCATCAGCATAGTAAGATGTTGTAGAATCACTACTTGTCTTCTCTGTGTTGCACAGCCTTTCCCATGCCCCCACCACATTATACATGCTAATCATAAGGCCCCCTTTCTTTTTTCCCACCCTTATCCCTCCCTTCCCTCCCATTCTCCCCAGTCCCTTTCCCTTTGGTAACTGTTAGTCCATTCTTGGGTTCTGTGATTCTGCTGCTGTTTTGTTCCTTCAGTTTTTCTTTGTTCTTATACTCCACATATGAGTGAAATCATTTGGTATTTGTCTTTCTCCGCCTGGCTTATTTCACTGAGCATAATAACCTCTAGCTCCATCCATGTTGTTGCAAATGGTAGGATTTGTTTTCTTCTTATGGCTGAATAATATTCCATTGTGTATATGTACCACATCTTCTTTATCCATTCATCTACTGATGGACACTCAGGTTGCTTCCATTTCTTAGCTATTGTAAATACTGCTGCGATAAACATAGGGGTGCATCTGTCTTTTTCAAACTGGGCTACTGCATTCTTAGGGTAAATTCCTAGAAGTGGAATTCCTGGGTCAAATGGTAAGTCTATTTTGAGCATTTTGAGGAACCTCCATACTGCTTTCCACAATGGTTGAACTAATTTACATTCCCACTAGCAGTGTAGGAGGGTTCTCTGGGCACTCCTTTTTGTTTCATTGTTCTGTCTGTCTTATTCTTACAGCAATACCCCCTTGCCTTACTATGTATAGATTTTAGTAATTTTGATATTTGGTAATGCAGACACATTGTTCTTTTTGAAAATTGTCTATTCTTAGGTCTTTTCTTTCCCTTTTGTATACAAACTCTTTGGGAACTTGAATTACATTGAATGTGTTGATTAATTTAGGGAGAATTAACATCTTTATGTGACCTTGAATGTTCTTATCAGTGAATATAGTACCTTTCCATTTATTTACATCTTCAGTATCTTTCAATTAAGTTGCATAACTTTGTTCTAATTATCATGCCATATTTTATGTGTTTGGTTTTTGGAAATGCATAGTAAAAGAAAGGATACCATTTTCAGTTTATTGTTTATTTATATGATTGAAATTGATTTTTATATGTTGATTTTGCAGCCTTGCCAGATTCTCTTATTACTTCTAATGTCTGTAGGATCTTTTGTCAGAAGTCATACAGTTTACAAATAAAAGCAGTTTTGTTTCTTTATTCCATGTCTTTTTTTCTTCTTAATCAGCATGTTTGACCTTTAATACAGCATTTAATAAAAGCAATAATAGTAGGCAATCGCTTCTTTTTGATTTTATACAGAATGCTTTAAATCTTTTATCACTGTATTATAAGGATTCTGTAGATTTTTGTAGCTACCTTTTACTGGGATAAAAAAAAATTCTGTTGTATTCCTAATTTGCTCAGGGTGTGTGTCTTCAGTGGATGTTGAATTTAATCAACTACTTTTCCTGCACCTACTGAGAGACTTCTATGCTGCTTCTTTCTATTGATGGGATGATAAAGAATCGTAGAAAGACATTGTTTGAGAGAAAGGGTGGCTGAACATTTTTCAGAACCAATAAAGGACACAGACTAGTACTAACTAACAGTGGCTTCCAAACAAAATAAATAAGAAATACATATTTGCATAATACACTGATTCTTCCTGCCTGAGCTAATGTGGAGCTTAATATACTTTATTTTTCAATAATAGTATTTTTCTTTCTACAAGTTGCCTTTGGGAGTTCTTCCAAACCTGCCTAATCATTTCTTATGCTCTCTTACTTCATATTCCGATCTCCTTCTTCATTTTCTTTACACATTAAACCTAGTATTTTTTATCTGATAATGCCCTCTGAAGTCCTTGCAGGTCTCATTGTTCTGTTTTGTTGTTCTATTGCTATTAATGTTTCCCGGGGACCGCTGTTCACAGTGGCATGTTCCTCTATGGCCTGTGCTCTTTTGTTGGGTTGTCTTTGTCCCTGGGGGCCCTGGGGGCCAGATTTTCCACATTACCAACCAAGACCACTTGAATTAACTGCTTGGCTCTGATTTCAGATGAGACAGTGGTGCCAATCCAGACACAAACCCGTGCATTAGCATGCCACAGATACAGATTTGCAAGTCCTGCTTCTTTAAACCCAGGGCACCTTACTCTAAGACAGATTTCCTTGCTAATTTTTCCAGCTGATGGATTCTTTTCCTAACCTACCCATTTACTGACTCACCACCATTTAGAACCCAAGGTGGGTTAACAACCACATCTCCCATAAATTCTCAGATCTTGGTTCCTGGTTTTGGCAGTTGGCACCGCATGGTCCCCATAGTGTCACATGACCTTCCCACTCAGTTTTAGCCTCTGAGAATTTTCCTTACTTTCTTGTAAGCTTAGCTATGCAATTGTATGTTCTTCTTCCCGTTTCTTTTGCTTTTTGCTAAAAGGGTTTCAGGCCACACAGCTGTTACAGAAAATGGAAGTCTTATACATTCTCCCATAATGTTGCACACTATTACTCTGGATGATCAGTCTTAGAACCCATAGCATCTGAGCAGAGTTCTGTTCCTAGTTCTCTCCATTTGGTTAGGCTGCTGTATCTTATGCATTTGTGGGGTGGGGTAGGGGACTATTCATAGATCTGCAGAAGAAATTTGAAAATTTCTAATGTTTCAAATTATAAAAATTAATGATACCTTTCTGTATCAGGTAGTAGAACTACAGAATAGATTATCTGAAGAATCCAAGAAAGCAGATAAGTTAGATTTTGAATATAAGCGGCTAAAAGAAAAAGTTGACAGTCTTCAAAAAGAAAAGGATGTGAGTATAATGTATTAAGCACCTTGGTTTTGAGCACTGCTTAAATTAAGACGATGATACTCATGTTTTGACTACATTAATACCTTCTGCTTTTAAATTAAAAACTTAGAGATCCTGTTCTTAAATTACAGAAGACGTACAGAAATAGATCTAAAATTAAAAGTGTTTTTACTTCCATTCTAATTTCTTTTATATATATTTATCTTTTCTACCACTGTTGCTTCTTTTACATTGTTCTGCTTGTGACTTTCTAAATTTATGTCATTTTTCTGTTTCCTGTATGTGTAATATGAGGACACAATTCTTTTTGTTGTTCAGCATATTCTGAATCTTTTAGAAGTATTTTTACTTTGTCATGATTAATGAATTTAAGTCCTTATTGTTTGATTTTTTTATGTTTAATGGGAAAAATATATTTATAGGATATGGTACTTACTGTTGAGGATGGAATTTTTGTTTCTAATGTTTAACTGTAGATAACATATTGCCTTGGACACCAGTGATATTCAGTATTGTTAAATGGGAAAAAGTTGTTGTAATATTTTCCTTCTGTGATCTTCCTGTAGAGATCAAAAGGTAAAACATCCATGTTCCCTACTATTAATCATTCCGTTAGGTAAGGCAGGGAGCACTCATGGATAAACCATAAAACTTAAAGCTAACTTCCCTTGTTTTTAATGTCCCTTCAGAGGTTAAGAACAGAAAGGGATTCTCTGAAGGAAACCATTGAAGAGCTTCGATGTGTACAGGCTCAAGAAGGGCAGCTCACGACTCAAGGTAAAAACATCTCAGTAGCCCAACCAAGATTATTTCTAACAGTATCAGTAAGAATATTAGATTCATCTTATGACATTGCACCAGTAGATGAAAATGAAAAATTGGTGAAGAGACCATGAAATTGACATAAATTTTAAACTATTACTCAGAGTTTATGGTAAATAGGCTATATTAAGGGACCAGATTTACTTGTTTAATTTGTATCTTAATTGCATTTAAACATTTCAGTTTTATTAGGTCAAAAACAAACATTTGTTAAATCATCTCTGTGACTAATAAACCTGGGAAGTTTTATTCTTGAAAGTTTCTCATAACCTCTTTAAAAGTTTATCAGTGATTTCTAAATCAGCGCCTTTTTTTCAAATGAGATGTGGGGTCAGTATCTATCAATCGATAAGGGACTTCTAACCACAGGAGAAAACTGCTCTTCCCCCAGAAGAGAGGAGCACAAAGCTCAAGGCTTACCCTCTGCCACATTTTTGTCAGCACACCCAGGTATGTGGGTGCCTGAACAAGGACTTAGACAGATTCAGTTTGTTCACTCCGACCTGACAGCCAGCCCTTGGATTTTCAGTCACCGGGAACTAACAAATGGAATTCTGCTTTTCCTCAAACCACAACCTCTTTTTCCTCCTCATTCCTTCTACCAAACCTCATTCCTGTTATTTCACTTCCAGTGCCCCCTCTGTTGTTTCTGTTGATGGACTCTGTTCTGGCCTCTTTCTCCACTCACCAGTGTGCATATCATCCATTTAACTATGTTCTCATCACACCACTTGACCTATTTTTAAACAAGTTTGACAACTCAAGTTTGTCAATTTTCATCTAACTAATGAGTTCAGCAAGGTCTGAAGATATGCAATAAGTATACAAATACTAATTACATTTCTATGTACTCACAGTTAATACCTGAAAATGAAATTACAGTATCATAAAGAAGCAAAATGCTCAGGAATTAGTTTAACGAAGAAGTATAAGACTGTGTATATTAAAAACTACCAATCATTGTAAAATAAAGATCTAAAAACTGGAGACGCATTCTGTGTTCACATGTTAGAAAATTCACTACAGTTAAGATTACAGTTCTCTTAGTATTGGTCTAAAGATTCAGTGCATTCCCAATCAAATTCTCAGTAGACATTTTTTTGTTCTTATCATTAATCTACAATTACATGAAGAACATTATGTTTACTAGGCTCCCCCCATCACGAAGTCCCCCCGCCACACCCCACTACAGCATAGTAAGATGCTGTAGAATCACTACTTGTCTTCTCTGTGTTGCACAGCCCTCCCCATGCCCCGCAATACATTATACATGCTAATCATAATGCCCCCTTTCTTTTTCCCCGCCCTTATCCCTCCCTTCCCACCCATCTTCCCTAGTCCCTTTCCCTTTGGTAACTGTCAGTCCATTCTTAGGTTCTGTGAGTCTGCTGCTGTTTTGTTCCTTCAGTTTTTCTTTGTTCTTATACTCCACATATGAGTGAAATCATTTGATACTTCTCTTTCTCTGCCTGCCTTATTTCACTGAGCATAATACCCTCTAGCTCCATCCATATTGTTGCAAATGGTAGGATTTGTTTTCTTCTTATGGCTGAGTAATATTCCATTGTGTATATGTACCACATCTTCTTTATCCATTCATATACTGATGGACACTTAGGTTGCTTCCATTTCTTAGCTATTGTAAATACTGCTGCGATAAACATAGGGGTGCATCTGTCTTTTTCAAACTGGGCTGCTGCATTCTTAGGGTAAATTCCTAGAAGTGGAATTCCTGGGTCAAATGGTA